ATACCTTCTTATTGGTTATTCTTCAAAGGAATTTATTGAACAAGGAAAAAACAATTTTGTACAATGTATAAATGACGTCTTCCTACAAATATTTCAAAAATGTTAGTAAATTATGAATATACTGTTTCATCAAATCCTAACAGTTAAATACTATTTTCCGCCTAGATTAATAAGACACAATGTTTTGCAATTGTTGTACCTCTCGGTGCAACAAGATATAATTTTGGGGATTCGGTCCATCTGAAGGGTTGGGACCCACGAGAAGCGCTAAGGAGGGTGCACGAGGGGTAACGAGAGAACACTCACTTCACAGCTTTTCATTATTTTTATTAGAAAACCCCTTTTCTTAACCCCTTTTACAAGATTCGATTAAATATTGTATTATATATTCGCGTAAGTCAATATTTCGTGGCTTACTTTAGTGATTGCGTTCGCGCTCGCGATGATGGTCAAGATGGTCGGTGTCGCAGTGTCGTAAGATGACACCGGCGTTCGCGACGCGCGTAACATCTCGTTAGGTTTTCTTATTGGAACGAACTTGAACTCGAACTCTCCGGTCTGCGATTAGGTAGCCGAATATAAAGGAATCGCGGTCCTATTACGATTCCTGCCGTGACCATATATAGTCACGGGAATTGTTCGGTGCGTGTGCGATTTTAATCCGCACGCGCTGTTAAATTCGCAGCCTTGCATTTCCACGTGCCGTTGTCATGCCGAAATGCAAAGATTGCTTTTTGATAATAGTCTTACATTTCCGTAAGCCTGTTGCTACGCCGAAATGCAGGACTAAATCGTGGTAGCACTCGGGGCCACAACACAATACATTATTCATATTAACATTGAACACTGTAATTAGCTACTGTACGATCAATATACATATAATGCAGTTATAAAAAATAAATACTTACTTATTAGCCTATTAGTATCATTAGCAACTAGTACTTATTCAAAATCACAAGTACGAAACTGACTAATTCATTCTAACGATTTGTTTATTATTATTATTATTATTACTATATATTATTATATTACTTACAAAACTAATTTCAATAGTCACTACTGTATTGGTACTGCACTGTGGTAAACTGTGTTGTAAATATAAAGGCAAATGCCTTTATCGCTATCTCGCGCAATCAATGCGATATGAGACGAATACGTAGGTACGGAGCGCGTATAAAGAGACGTTTTCGTTCATATCTCAAAAATGGTTTTGCGGAAGGTGATTTTAATACACACCGTTATTTTCAACATAAAATGCTCTTTAATTTTGGTCATACAAAAAATTAAAAAATTTCTGAAAATAAGGGTGAAGGGTGGGGGTGTACAATAAATGAATAGTTAAAAAAAATTTTTTTAATATAGTTGTAAAGTACTCTTGCAATCATTCAATTTTCATTGTAGAAATTTTTTTCTACCCCTTATAGTTTCGAAGATATTCGCTTCGAAAGAAAAAACCCGATTTTTTTTCAAGGGAGGATTTCACCCCCTTAACATGCGACTCCGCACGTATAAAAAAATACGTGTCTCTTATTTTTGTCTATAAAATAACATTCTAAAAGCTCATTTAAATCGGAGGGGGACCACTCGTTGTGTTCCCTTGTGAGTATAGAGATATGTACTTTATTTTTAGATGTAATTTATGACGTCTTTTGTACGAGTCCTAACCGAAGAGTAAGAATTTATTCTTTCGTGTTTCTTCCTACATAGCGAAACATGGAAGATATAGCAAGAATTATAGAAATCACAATCTTTGTCGATTTACTTGTCGCTCTTATTGCATTTAGTGCAATATGTTTTTCTACGTACCCTACGAGCGGAGATATTGCGACGCAAAGTCCGATTCGCCATCAAGAAATTAAGTGTCTAGGTGTTGTCTACATGTTCGCCGTCGAGGAAATGGTTGGCCATCGAAGAAATGGGTGTCTACGTATTCGCCGTCGAAGAAGTGGATGTCTAGGTGTTCGCCGTCGAGAAACTAAATGTTTAGGCGTTCGCCGTCGAAGAAATGGGTATCTAGGTTCACCGTCGAGAAAGTGGGTGTCTAGGTTCAATCAATGCGTTTTTGCACGATTTCGTATCTTAGGCTGCGATCCACTTGACGCTACAAACGTTTCGAAGCGTTTGAACGACCAATCAAAACAAAGAATTTTACGAATTGACTAATCAAAGAATGCTTTGAAGCGTTTATAGCGTCATATGGACCGCAGCCTACCTCATCGACATATAGGCCGGAATCCATAGTCCGGTCTTAATCTCAAGCAATATCTTAAGATGCTAATATGGCTCTCTGATCAGTTCATGCACTAGCTTAAGACTAGAGTACCTATAATAAGAGTACGGTCAATAGGGTAACGATCGGTGATTGATTCACCAAATTGAGGCAAAAGCGGAAGTTACATGCCCATGTGTACTATCTGTGTGTACCATTTATGTGTACACTATTTACACTGTTTCGAATGGTTTGGACTCCCTTTCGAGCGAATTATTTACGTAAAAGGTTCGTTTGCTGGCATTTTGATTAGCGAGTGCCATTTATAATAAATTAAGAAGAAGAAGAGGTAAATGGCAAAAATTACATTGTAATTATATATTCTTTTAATGAGATGAAAACGTGATTTTCTTGTGTAATTATAACTTAACCTAGTTGTTGATGCATTATAGCTATCATAATGCCTGGCTGTGTAGCCGATTATTGTGTTAATTCCGCCAAAAAGGGATATAAAATGTGCCGCTTCCCACGAGATCCAAAAAGACGTGAAATTTGGACTAAAAACATGGGACGACAGGATTGGTCTCCGTCCAATAATTCAGTGTTATGTGAGGTTAGTAAGAAGTTGCTTTTATGATTTTTGAATGTAAATTATAAAACGACGTATATTGTATATTATATTGTATATTATTTCAGATACACTTTCATGCAGAAATGTGGACTGAATCGAAAAATGGAAACGGCAAGCGCATACTGAAAAAAGATGCTGTTCCAACTGTGTTTGGTGAGTTTGTAGTTCAAAATACT